TTCAACTGCTGCTGAGGCCTCCCGGCCTGAATTTGGACTTGAAAGTCTGGATCTGGACTGACCCCTGGACTTAGACCAGAACTGGGACTGTGCCTATTGACTTTACTTTCGGACAGGCACAACTCTCAACGAACAGACACATTTACTGCTTGAACAGACACTTTACTTGGCACGAACAGACACACTGCCTGCACATACAGACACACCCTTACCCAAACAGACATGACATACACATCTCCTGGTGAACARGTAAGTCTTTTGACAATGCCCTTTGCCTTAGTTTTAAATATGCCTGTTGATAGAGAACTTGACCTTTGACCTGCTTTCACGTTTCTGAGCTCTGACGAGATACCTTTTCACAATGCTTTACTTTTTCAAGGCCCGTGCTGCTTTATTTTTACAAGGCCTGAGGCCTATATCGGGTAAAGGCCCTTTTATACAGCATGCGTCAAGCCCGTCTGAACACAAACAGAAGGGCATGAATGGTTCATAATGCCATAACCGTAATCGTAAATAAAGTTTATTTAATAAACAGATGCAGAGTTCCAATCCTATTGGATGAGATGGAGCTAGAAGGCTAGAACCTAGAGGTTATATTCCCTTAAGCCCCTTTTTTCAAATGGTGACTTAGGAGCGGATGGTCACGCTTTTGCATTTCTATGTTAAGGGCGTGCTCACACTAGCACTATCTTATATGTATCTGACCGCATTTATGGCCCCGCCTGGATGCATCTGGCCGCAATTCCGTCCTGAAACAAGTAAATAAGTCCTCGTGTGAGTATGCCCTAAGAATGTCGTAAGCTTTGACAGATCAAAACAAACAAGGTGGGCGCAAGCATGCCATCACAAACACACATTTGCTAGCCTTCAAAAGCACCCCATTGTCTGGTTTGGTTTCCCACTCGCAATTCTCTACATGCCCTATCCCATATGGGCACATTTTCCGAACGCCCCTTCTAATTACGATCAGGCATACACCCACGGGATTCAGCAGATTTTTTGCAGGAAGCTCTCTTTCCACCGGCATCACCACTGCTAAACCCCCACTGCCCCCGACGCTAGTTTACCAACCCGACATTTACTTTCTGAGCTGGGCCCACCTAACAGAAAAGACGAGGGCCTACTGGTACCAGCAGGGAGCAAAACATGTGTTCTTTTGTCGCCAGAACATTTTTCTGCCATGCAGAAAAAAATTGTCTTATTTTTTTAATATTTTCTTTGGAACGATCTGCACTCGATTCACATCCATGATTCTTTTCCAAATATTTTTGCCACAACTCCTGATCGCCAAATATTCCCAAGGTCGGCACACTCGGGATCTTGCGCGAGACTTGCAGAAATCCGTGACCATCCTCGACCGACCCTATCAGCTGCTTAAGTGGCCATACGATCGTCGAAAGTTCTGAGTTGCACATTTTTTAGGCATCGGAGGGGAGGGGAGCGGGGGTTTAAAGAGACGACAAGGGACACTAAGATCTCTGCCATGAACCCAGTCAAGTGGAAAGCTCATCAAGTCGAAGTACACAATGTCTCAGCGCAGAATCGATATCTCCAATAATCGAATATGTGATTAAGTAGTACAATGTCTCGTTACCAGGGACGAAGCTGAGAGGAGGGAGAACAGACGTAGAGGGTGGAAGAGAGAGTATCCATCATTGTCATTGCAGATAGATCTCCCCCACATCCCACTTCCTCTTCGGGCATCTCCTCTACGTCCACATCAGCAAACAGTATCCCCTGACGAGCCCTGAGAAGAACCGATCACAGCAGAGTGCCACCTGGCACAGATCTCCCCTGAAGACGTCCCAGCAGCGCGCAATGTCGTCAACAACAATCAGGTAAGTTTCCCTTCTCCTTGTCAGACCAAACTCACAGCCCTGATCACCCTCCTCGTCGGTCAGTGTCGAAGACAACGTGGCACGCGCCACATCAGACAATCAAGTATCCAGCTGGCGCCAGAAACACAAGAGGCGCCAGCGCATCGCAATGCAGCAGCAGTCTCGCGTCGTCGTCAAGTCAAGCCAGCGTCAAGCCAGCGTCCAGCCAGCATCAAGCAAGTGGAAGACTGAATGTCGGTCAGCAGGGGCTGGGTCAACACATAGTGTTGACTCGGCTTGATCAACCTCTGGTCTCACGGATATGACGGCCCAGATTGACCCGCAGTCGACGGCCTGGATTCCATACAGTTGCAGATTCCCACTCGGACTGAATCCTCGATAGAGACCTGCAAACAGCCAAGTGTGTGTGTCTGGTCTGTGGCCTGGGCTGGGACCGTGTAGACTTTGACTCGCGAGCCTGAATTTCCGAGCTGCTGTTTGACCTTGGACTTTCCACGGTCAACTGTCGCACGCAGGGCCTCTAAAGCCCTTGTTTAGGCCGTGTTTCAGGTACCCACAGCAGCAGGCCTGGTACCAGGCAATTTCTATGACTTGGGCGTGACCTTTGGCCCCCTGATTCGGCCCTTACTCCCAAGTGACAACCTATGGCTCGCGACTATTGCATATTTCACACTGAGTTATTGCATCTCGTTCATTTCCAGTAAATAAATAAATACGCGATTAAAATTTAAAACTAACTGTCTGATAAAGAGCTGACAAGGTCATCGCACAGCAGATATGCATCATTCTACTGCAATACATAAAGTTATAAACTCGTTATCAATCCCATCCCCATCATGACGGGATCTCGCTCCCGTGGTAAACCCCTCTGTCCACTGGTGCTTCAAGATCTGTGCCGGAGTTCGAACCGCAGGTCCAACAACCCACATATATAAAAATTCTGAGTGTGCATGGATGTGTGCATGTGTGCACGTGTGGGGGTGGGGGGGTGGGTGGGTGGGTGGGTGGGTTCGAGCTTAGAAATTCTGTGTGTGCATGCACGTGTGCGTGTGTGTGCATGTGTGGGTCTGGATGGGTTCGAGCTCACCACCTGTTGGGTGCTCCTCATCTTTTGGCAGCTGGGAAAAGAAAATAAGACCACATGTGGCCGGAAACAAAGCAGAAACAGCCACTCGTCTTAATTGAAAGTTGTTAAAAAACAAAAAAACAAAAAAAACAGAAACAGCCACTTAAATGGCAAGAAGCGACTCACAGCCAAGCGGGGTAAAAAAAAAGAAAGAGTCGGGGGCAGAATGAGAACACAGAATATGAATCTCTTCCCCTTTTGCGCCCACAAACACACATTTTTTTCTCTTGAAGCAAAACGCACAAAATAAAACACGCAAGGAATCCCGACCACCGAACTAATATTTCATTATTTTGCATATATTTTTCATTTTTTCTTGACATTTTTGACATCTCCCCCCTGCAGTTCGCACAAACAGATCAGGCTACTCAGTTCTTGCCTGGGGAACCTTCGACCCACATAAGAACGCACACAAGGGAAACACGCAACACACCAAGCACGTAACTGTCATGGCCTGGGCCTTTCCACGCGACAGACGGATCGCATGACCCACAGCTGTCCACACCAGCATTTTTTGGTGCGTATTTTGATTGTATCATTTTTTTTTTGAGTTTGAAATTCGACTTTTTAGAAATAATAATTAAACGGCTTGCAAGGGTACAGCAGCTTTACCTTATCAAGGCCACGTCTTCCCGCTCTGCCGGCCATCTGTGTGTACTCTCCGGACAGTATTTGACGGAATGTCTTGCCATCATGCTTGCGCAAGCCGTGAAAGGCCACCTGTACCATACAAAAGAACAAATAACAAAGACAAATCCCGAAGCTTCTAAAAGTTTTCAGAGGGGGAAAAACGTCACTAATCGTCTTTTTACTAAGTTCTTAGCCTAAGGACACTGCTATTTCAGCTTTAAAAAACAAACAAACAAACAAAGCATGAATGTGATAGAGATGAACCGCTCAAAAGAAGGTACGGGGGCATGGACAAAAGCAACTTTTTTCGGTCCTTTTTTCCGGGGTTCAGGACATAAACCCAGTTCTAGTGGACTTCACCAGTTATTTCCCCCCTCCACTTCCCCCCC